TCACACGGAATCTCAGAATGGTTTGGGTTGGAAAGGCCCTTAAAGGACACTTAATTCCAACTCCCTGACATGGGCAGGGACACCTTCCACCAGACACTGACACTGCCATCCGGAAAACTACCTTAATTTAACTCCAGTTAAGTTAACCTGCAAGGAAAAAAAAAAAAAAACACCTCGAAGTATTTCTGGATGATAGCACCAAAGAGATACAGATCGAAGTATACGTGTAGATCTCTACAGCCACCTTTTCTTTCCTTATCTCTTCTCCCCTTAATGCAATTCTATAACGGGCGAATTGTATGGATTCGAACTCGAAAACTTAAAAACAAACCCCAAAAGGTGAACAGCCGAGCACCACACAGTTCATAACACAATGTTCGAACGTAATTCCTACGTTTCTGTTTTACACCCGGAAAGCAGCGAGCCTGAGCATCCTCTCAACCCCACACTTCGCCGCGTCTCCGTCCCCCGCCTTTACCAGCACGCACCGGGAAACACCCCTCGCACAGGTCGTTCCCCGCAAAGTTTATTAAACAACCGCTGCGTTCAACTCGCGCCTCGCGGGTCACCGAGCTCTCCCCGCGGAGCCCCGACACCGCCGCGAGGAGGAACCGGCCCCGGGGCCGCCCCGGGCCAGCCACCCCCGCCTCCCCCCGCGCACCTTTGCGGAGCTCCCGGTGCCACACGGCCACGATGGGCCCCGCGTGCTTGCGGTGGTGGATGAGCCACAGCGACAGCGTCTGCACGCTCTGCTGCGAGTTGCTCAGCTCGGACAGCTTCTTCTCCAGCGCCGACTCCGAGAAGGAGGACATGGGGCCGGGGCCGCTCCGCCCGCGGGGGGGGGCGCGGCGCGGCCTCACCGAGCACAACCCGCCGGGGCCGCCGCCACAAGATGGCCGCCCGCGCCCTGACCCCGCCGCGGGCCGCGGGGCGGCCGCCTACGGAGCGCCGGAGGGAGCCGGGGCATCGCCCGCGCCTGCGCACTGCCCGCAGCCGCGACTTCCCTCGCGCCGCCCGCCCCGCGCCCGCGGGAGCTTTGTGGCGCCGCCAGCGCCGGGGCCGCCGCGTCACTTCCGGCACCCTCAGGGCCGCCGGGCCCCAGCGCCGTGCCGGTGCCGGTGCCGGGCAGGGCCCTCCGGCATGGCCGTGTTCGACACCCCGCAGGCCGCCTTCGGGGCGCTGCGCCCCGCCTGCGTGCAGCTGACGCGGGCGCAGACGGTGGAGAACGTGCGGCGGCTGCAGGCGCACCTGGCCGCGGTGAGCGGCGCGGCCCTGCAGGAGCTGCAGGAGTACGTGCTGTTCCCGCTGCGCTTCGCGCTGCGGGTGCCGGGCCCCAAGCAGGAGCGGCTGGTGCAGAGCCTGGTGCAGTGCATCTCCTCCGTGCTGGCGGCGACGTGCGTGAGGAAGCGGGAGCTGCTGCAGGAGCTCTTCTCCGAGCTCTGCACCTGCCTGGCTCCCCCGCCCGGCTCGGGCAAGCCCGCCCCGCTGTCCGAGGAGCTGAAGCTGGCCGTGATCCAGGCGCTCCACACCCTGATGCACTCGGCTTATGGGGATGTTGTCTTGTCCCTGTACCAACCCTCCGCCCTCCCGCTCTTGGGGTTTGCCGTGTCTTTGCTTCTGGGCCTTGCGGAGCAAGAGAAAGCCAAGCAAATCAAGATCTCTGCTTTGGAGTGCTTACAGGTCCTGGTTCTGCAGTGTGACTGCCACGAGCACCGACACCTGGACGAAGAGGAGGCACAGCAATGTGGGGATTTGTTTGCTTCTTTTCTGCCTGGGATTTCCATTACGCTGTCTCGGGTTATTACTGGAGACATCAAACAAGGTCACAAAACCACCGTTTCTGCCATCAGACTCTTCTATCTGATTGTTGGCTCGGTAATGTCTGATGCACAGCTAGCCAGAATCCCAAAGAGTAAGGAAAAGCTGCCAGTGGAACAAAGCAGAATATCGGAGCTAATGGTCCACAGAGGACCCGACTGGAGCAAAAGTACTGCTCAAAAACTCTCCATCCTCCTGCATAAAGTGGTTGAATCTTCTTCAGTTCACCCTCACTGGAAGGTGAGACTGGAGCTGGTGGAACTGGTCCACCACTTACTGAGGAACTGCAGCCAGTCACTGGTGGACTCATTCAGTCACCTCCTAAAGGCCTTGGTTGGGCTGGTTAATGACGAAAGCAGCGAGGTCCAGAGCAGGTGTAACGAGGTTCTGCGGGGCATGGCAGAGCAGAGGGTCGTGGCACAGAGCAGGGCTCTCGCCGACGTCCTCTCCGAGAACCTCCATTCCCTGGCCACGGCGCTTCCTCGCCTCATGAACTCCCAGGACGACACGGGCAAGGTGTCCACGCTGAGCTTGTTGCTGGGCTACCTGAAGCTGCTGGGCCCCAAGATCAACGTCGTCCTCAACTCCGTGTCCCACCTGCAGCGCCTGTCCCGGGCGCTGGTGCAGGTCCTGGAGCTGGACGTGACGGACGTGAAGATCGTGGAGGAGCGGCGCTGGGGGCCGCCGGGCTGCTGGCAGCAGGGTGTGCAGAGGGGCAGGTGCCAGAAGAAATACTTCCGCTTCTTCACAGAGGAGAGAGTTTTCCAGCTCCTTCAGCAGGTGTGCCGTGTTCTTGGCTACTACGGGAACCTCTACCTGCTGGTGGATCACTTCATGGGGCTGTACAGCGAGTCCAGCCTGTACAGAAAGCAGGCAGCCATGGTCCTCAACGAGCTGGTCACGGGAGCTGCCGGGCTGGGAGTGGATGTCCTGCAGGAGAGGGAAGTCCCGCCGAGCGTGGATGATCTCAAAGGGTCCATAACTTCCATTCTGGATGAGTACACCGACCAGGCGAACTGGTATTTGATCACCAGCGTTGACACGGAAGAAGCCAGCCCTGAGCACTCTCTGCAGCGCTCAGGACTCACTGCCCGTCTGGGGGGCCCGTGCAGCAGCGTCCTCCTTCCATCCCCGGAGCCCCAGGTCACCACCCGCTCCATGAACAGCAACATCTGGCAGATCTGCATCCAGCTGGAGGGCGTTGGCTGCTTTGCTGCCGTCCTTGGGAAGGAATTCCGGCTCCTGCTGCTCTCAGCTCTGTACCCTGTGCTGGAAAAGGCTGGAGACAGGACTCTGCTCATCAGCGAGACAGCACTGGGGACACTGGCAGACATATGCGAGGCCTGCAGTTACGACTCGGTGCAGTGTTTGATTAATGAGAATTCTGACTATCTGGTGAACGGGATTTCCCTGAATTTGCGCCAGCTGGCACATCAGTCACATGCTTCCCAGGTCCTGGACACAATGCTGAGGCATTCAGATGCCAGCCTGCTGCCACTGGTAGAAGACGTTATCCAAGATGTCCTGTCTGCCCTAGATCAGTCTTACAGCAACCAGGCTTCCACCTTCCTCGGGGTCCTCCACTCAGTCATGACAGCTCTAGGTACCAAAATGATGTTTACTTTGTGTAACTCAGCCCTGCTGTCACTGAGGGTACTTGTCTTGGACCTTTCCACTTGCCAGGGGAGGTTTCAGGTAGCCAAGGTGCTGTAGCATGATGGCACCTGCACTTTGCTTGGTGGCCAGTGCTCAAGCAAAGATCACCAGTAGCTTCCCCTCTCTGGTTTCTGTCTGGCCTGCAGCCTTGCAGGAACATGGGCCTTTTGTGGGTGAGAAAGGAAGGATTCCCTGCTCCCCATAAGTGTTCTGTAGGAGTACATGGAGCGTATTGCTTTTTGGTTTTAACATTCCCATACCATCAGGGATGTGACAGCAGGTGCCTGGGTCTGTAGTGCTGTCCCATGAGAGGCGAGCTCTTCTCTCAGGGAATCACAGCTGACTTGCAGGAGGGGATCGTGGCCGTTCAGTGACGCGTTGGTTCCTCTTTTGCAGTCCAGTGGTCTGGAATGAGCAGCGCTGAGCGACACCAGCAAGGGTGGACTGGCAAGAGGCAGAGCGGGGCTCAGTCCCAGGGGCAGCACGAGGTGCCAACGACAAGGCAAGAAGTGGAACGATTCTTCCTTGACTACGTGAGGCAGAAGCAGATTGCAGAGGGTGACGTTCCTGACACGGGGGAGGAGGAGGAGGAGGAGGCAGGTCAGTACTGTGCGTGGCTGGAGAGGAGCATGTTCAGCCTGCAGAGAGAGCGTGACCTCCAAGGTGTCCTTTTGTCACATGGAGGACCTGGGACCCGGCTGACAGTCTCAGGTGTACTTTGAGATGCCCTTGGTTCGTGTAAGGTGCTGCTGGGTGTTCTTGCTTCGTTCTTTGTGAGGACAGGAGCAAAACGTTTGCAGATCAAGGCTGCTGTAGCTCTAAGACACAAGCACACTGTTTTTCCTTACCTTGTAACAGGTTATTTGGCTTCAGGGCCAGAAGTTTCCTCTTTCCAGGATCCTACTGCGTTTTCCTCCTTATGTTCCCTTGGGAACCCCTGTGCCATTTTCTCCTGGCTAATGATGCCACCACTCCCTTCTCACTTGGCCTGGGCAGGTACTGCAGATATTCATACAGGAAACTTTTTAGTCTTTACTGGGCTGTGCTGCAATCCTGACCTTTAAATACTTCATCTTTAAATACCCAGGCTTTTCATTTTTAATAAAAATCAATGGGAAATAAGTCCATGGTGAGAAGAAACTGCAAATGTCAGAGCAACTGCATTGTCCCGTAAAGCAAGCGAACCTTCCCTGGCCCCACCATCCTATCTGAACCTGACACTACCTCACAGAACTCAAGAATAGCCTTGACTGTGCCTAATTACACTAAAAAATGCCAAAGGCCTCACTCAGGAGTGTTCAGAGTGGCTGTGGGCAGGTATTGCGATCTCCCAGAGCTCCCGAGTCATTTTCGTAGCTCCAGGAATGGTTTTGTCTTCCAGACGAGGTTCCCCCGCTTGCTGAGACGGAGCCCAACAACGGTGACACGGACGGAGAGGCTGCACTGCCGATCCACGCTCAGCTGGCCCGGGATGTGATGGAGAGGTGCATCCACCTGCTGTCTGACGGGAGCCTCCGGGTGCGGCTCAAGGTCGGTGCTGGCGGCTCTGAGGGGACAGATGGTGCCCACGGAGGGGCTGGGAGCTCGTCAGCGTGTGCACCGTGCACGTCGGGCTCCCTGCCATCCCCAGGTTCGTGCTGCCATATGCTCGAGCAGGACAGATCCTCCAAGCCTGGCAAGAAAAAGGGAGACGGTTTTCTGGGAGCAGTTTGGGTTAGGAATGGCAGCCAAGCCGAACAGCATCTTGAGGGGGGCTTTGTGTTGGGCGCCTTCCTTTGACGCTCGTGACAGTTAAAGTCTTGTTCCTCAGCCTTTGGTGGAAGAAGCAGAAGCATCTTCCTCCCATCTGGCCTCCCATCCCCCTTCCTCAGGCTGCAGTGCACAGGCTGATGAATGTTTTTGAAGTTGCTGGGGTGATGATAAGCAGGGCTAAAAGCCTGGCTTTTTTTTGTAATTATGAAAATCCTTTGAAGGTGGCCTCCTTTTAAAGTGCAAAGCGAGACAGAAAATGCAGCAGTGAGGCATAACCCAGATTCTCAGCCCAGAGGCCCCAGCTCTGCCAGGTGATCCTGCTGCCCCTGCGGGATCTGAATGTGCAGTTCAGGCCAGGAGTCCTGCCCTGCTCCCAGCCCAACTCTGTACCCAGCACATCACTGCAGTACTTGTGCCTTTCCAAACAGGTCCTGTGCTCTGAGCACTGTTCACTTGTCCCAGTTCCTGCTGCAGTAAAACCACACCCTTTGCTATTCAAACCCTCCCAGCTTCCCGGTGGGATGCTGGGATTCACCTGAATGCCTGGCACTGCAGCACTCAGAGTCTGTTCCCTCCCCTCCTGGCCAGGTCCTGGACGTGCTGGAGCTCTGTGTAACTGTGCTGCATCCTCACGGAAACCATCTGCTGCCCATGGCTCACCGTGTCTGGCCAGCTCTCGTCACCCGGCTGATCAGTGACGACCCTCTGGCAGTGCTCAGAGCCTTCAAGGTATGGCAGGGACTGCCAGCAGCCTTCAGGCTGGGGCTGGGAAGGGAAGTGGCTTGAGGCAGTGCTGCAGCCCAGGAGAGGAGCACCAAGCTCCTGCAGTGATGCTTAAATGTGGTTTGGAGCATGGGATCACCGCCCTGCAGTGGGTGGGGTCGTACCATTCCCACTGCAGCTGTTCCACAGGTGAACCCTTGGCACCGTTCCTGGGGGAAGCAGCAGTGCTGGTGGTTGTTGCAGGGACAAGGAGAACTGTTCTGCAGCCTGAGCAGCTGTCAGAGGCACTGTACAGTGCCTTGCTGGAGCCACAGTCCCAGCACCCTCTTTGGAGGTCTCAGACTGAAGATAAGGGAATATTTCACGATTGAGGAATTGGCAGGGGAGGGGAGAGGTTAAACAAAGACTTGGCCTTATAATGACATTATTAAAGAGCTCCTGACCTCGTCAGCTGGCTACAGTCTCCTCCTGAGTCACAGGATGGCCAGTAAAGCACGTTTCCAGAGGTTGCCAGCCCCAGGGTTTCACAGGGATTCATCTGCTGGGCAGAATGAGATTCATTGTAGAATCCTTCAGTGTGAATAAAGAGAGTTTTGATTGCCCAGATTCAAGAAGCCACACACTAGAGTTTCAGAGTAGCCATATCTGTCATGTGCCTGCCCTCAAAGAAGGGAGAGATTGCTATACAAAAACTAATTAACTCTTGAGAAGTTCAAGTGATCATTACAATTAGCACCCAGCTTGGGTTTTCTGGTATGAATTCCCCTTGGAGTGTCTTCCTGCCTACATTCCAAGACAAGAAGTGTCTTATCAGTGTAAGGCAAACACAACATAACCAGCATCTCAGTCCTGCACACTGAGACCATGATCTCAGTAAAGTTTCAGGAGAAATCAGCATTCTGGCCCCATGGATCCCCTTTTGTTTTTACATGTAGTTAGGGCCATTCTCTACCCAGTCTGGGTTTGATCCTGGGCACACTCCAGTAGTGCTGGGTGCCCTGTGCTGTGGCCCATTGGCCTTTCTGCTCCCTTGGGTGCTTGGAAAGATGGGCTGTCTGCACCACGAAGGGGATTTAATGATATGATGATATTTAATGGCATTTTCCATCAGAGCCTCCTCCAGTAATTTTGAGTAAGACTGCACAGCTGCTCTTACCTTTACTGTGCTAATGAGGGAAGGGCAGCCCAGGAGGTCAGACAGGTGAACACTGCAGAGCAGGGTGCAGCTCACTCAGCCTCTCAAACATTCACCCACTGCTCATTATGGGGAAGCTGCAGCAGACATGGTCACATTGCTCTCTCCTGCAAAAAAAAAAGAGAAATTCTCCAGGGGAACGAATGCCTGAACCCCCTGAGCATCCTCCCAGGCCCTCGTGTGCCCTGCACCCCTGTAACTGCTGTCTCTCTTAGGTGCTGTGTACCTTGGCTCAAACCTGTGGGGATTTCCTGAGGCAGAGGTTCTCCAAAGATGTCCTGCCCAAGCTGACCAGTTCCCTCCTCAGCCAGGCCCCAGCAAGTGCCAGAGCCGGGCCCGTGTACAGCCACACTCTTGCCTTCAAGCTGCAGCTGGCTGTGCTGCAGGGCCTGGGCTCTCTCTGCGAGAGCCTGGACATGGGTGAGTACCAGGGAGAGCACAGGTTGGGTGGATCTCTACCAGCCTTGCCTCTTCTTTCATCTCAGCTTGCTGCTTTCTCCTCCTGCTGCCCCGTGGGGTTGATTCCCTGATCCTTCTGCAGCCTGAGTCTGTCCTCCTGGGAGCTCTGTGAAGAGGTGCTGGGCAGTCTTTACTCCCCAGGAGACAAACAGCAGAGAAGGTTCCCAGCACATGTGAAAATCTGACTGCTCATCCCAACCTGGGCATGGGAAGTGGGGTGTGCAGTGGAGTGTCTGGGTTGCTGTTGGGCCATAGTTTGTTCTTACCTGACAAACTGGAGCCTGGATAAGAGTTCTGACCAGCTCGACTGGTTCCACTTTGGGGCATCTCTCTGGGTGACCCTTCAAGTCCAGCACACCACACTCTTCTACTGAATTAAACTCTCAGAAATTCATCAGAGTTAAATTTCTGGAGCTGACTTTGATGAGGGAGAAGCTTTGCTGGCGAGTTGCTCTTTTCCTCTCGGTGCCCTTGATTGCTTTCCTGGCTTTGCAGCAAGATGCTTAAGAGGCAAGGTCAGAAGAGCTCCGGGTCAGACAGCTCAAAGGCTCAGAAGCTTCTTGCTGCCAATTTGGAGCTGATTCCATTAGGCAGCAGCCGCTGAGGAGGTCACCTCCTACCCTTCTTTCCTGTTCCATTTCTGCAGGCGAGAGTGACCTGAATAAAGTGGCAGATGCCTGCCTGATTTACCTCAGTGCCAAGCAACCCGTCAAACTGCAAGAAGCTGCCCAGAGGTAATGTCTCTTAAATGCAGGTGTGTTGGGTGTACAGATAATGGGGAACAGAGGGAGCATGGTCATCCCATTCCTTTTGCACCTTTCTCATTCCTCCCTCCGGCACGTTTGAGTCCTGTACAACAGGGTCTTTCGTGGAAGTTTTCAGTGGTGAAGTATCCTTTACTCCCCAGAATGAGCTAGAGAGGTCAGCTGTCAGCTTGCTCAGAAGTTACAGTTGGCTTTCAGGTGACCTTGCAGTGCATTTGGGGACAGAGGGGAAGATTTGCTACTTGCCTTTTCCCTAACCACCTCCTATGCCTGAATACTTGGGGCTCTTGGCCCACTGGTGGCATCAAACTGCAGAGGAAAGACAGCTATGGAAGAAGATGTGCCAGGCATTCCCTTGTATTTTATCACTTAATACCTTCTGCAGGCTGGGGGATTTACTTCTGTTATCCTTCCATTTTCCCTGGGCTCCTGTGATCACACCAACCCAGGCAATGCCAGGTGGACCGGAGTTTGTTTGGGAAGCTGTCAGTCTTGGCACCACTGCTGCTCTGAGGAGGCTGGGAGAGTCTGAAGGAGCACAAACAGTTTAGGTGAACACACACCAGCTCTATAAAGTGTTGACAGACGTTATTTTGCTGCTTGGTGTACAAAATCCTCCTCAGCATGTTCCTGCTGTCAGGATAAGAAATCACTGTTGTCACATGTTGTCACCTGGAACCAAGGCCGGAGATTTCAGGAGACAAAGCGAGTCCAGTTACAGAACACAGGACATAAATCACAAACCCGGGCCCCTCTGCTGAAGGACAGGGGGGGCAAAAGCCAACCCCCTCTTCTTGTGTGGCCCTGCCCTGAGGGGAGGGGGAAGCCAGCAGGTTCCGCAGGCTCTGCAGCTTCCAGATTTCCAGGGCAGGCTGCTGGAAAGGGAAGCAGAGGGAAGGGCATCCCATCCGTTCCCTCTCACAAAGCCCGGGCTCCCGGGGGCGCGGCGGCTTTTGTGTGGCCGGGCAGCAGATCCGAGCGAGCCCTCCCCGGGGCTGGAGCGTTCCTTTGTTTGTGTCCCCGAGCGGGTGGGAGCAGGTTTATTTTTACCTCCGAGGCTTTTCACGGCAGCACAGCAGGCTCCAGCGGCGTTTTGTTCTGCAGAGGGGGGCTCTGCTCTGTGGGCATGCAGACCCTCGCTGCAATAAAGCATCGTCTGTGCTGGATGGAAAGCAGAGCACCACGATTCATCTAGATATTTGGAATCTGAGGCTTTTAAATCATTAACTAAGCAGCTGGAGAAGCTGTGCAATTTCCCCCCCTCAGCAGGGGTGGAGGGAATACAAAATGAGCCCTTTTAGAAGCTGCACGCTGAAGCGAGCTCACTTGTTGGAGGAAAAGGGCAGTGAAGTTCAGGGCAAGTAGCGTTTTTCTCCTGCACGTTATTTTTATTCTACTTCAAGGGAAAAATGCCGTATGTTTTGCTCCTCCCCCCATGCCTTTGATGCACCGTATCTCACATAATGTCACTGAACCAAGCTGCTCACTGAAGTCCTTGCTCTCTCCTCTTAAACTAGGCACATGTATGCACTGAGGCATGCATTATGTCTGGCCTGACAGTAACCATGCACATGGCAGCACCTGGGGGCTTCTTTTGGGGTTTATTTTTTTAGTTTAGTCTTGTGTGATCCCCAGTCTTGGAGCCTGGATGGGTCAGAGTTAAGGGTATCACACTCACTTTTAACTACAGTACTCTAAACCAAGGTTTCAGCTTGGGAAAGTCAAAATTAGTTTGCACCATAACAATCAGCTCCAGCACCTGGATAAAAATCACTTCTCACCACACTTCAATTTCCATTCTGCAGCTGCTGAACCACCCCATTCCTGTAAGTTCTGGCCCTTCTCCTTCCTCTGCACGTGCCTGAAAGCAATCCTGCAAACTGACACAGGTTGTCACACATGAGGCCCTTTCCATCTAGGCAAGGGCAACGTTATCAGCCTGATACATGAGAAATTCTGCATTTTAAATGCTTCTAAAAACAGATAGACCAGAACTAATCTTGGCCCCAGCCTGAGTGCCAGTGTACGTCACATAACTCAGCTTTATCACTGCAGAAATCATACGAGGTAAAAGGATGTTTGGAATCAGCTTGCCATAGTGATTTATACTAACTGGCCTTTGCTCAGCTCTTTGGATTCTTATTCAACTGATGGGTTGTGACCTGTCAAGAACAAGGTCAGCTGTAGCTCCAAACACCTTGCACTGACTCTGTGAGGATTTTGTAGGCATGCAATGGGCTGAGCAGGAATTTTTGGCCAAGGTGCTGGAGCCAAAAAGGAGGGGGGAGGGAAAGGGAAAAAAAAGTTTGGCTGTCATCCATGGATGTTATCATGCCCCAAGGAGGCTGCTTAATCCCATTTATGGGACCCTGTAGCTTTATTAGATGAAGCAGTGGGAGTAAGTGGTTTTTTGTAACTGCAGCTTCATGCAATACTCAACAGGCAAAAATAGATGCTGGGGAAAAAAAGAACTCCAGCATGTCTGAGGAAGAAAAAATGGGACAATAACAATAGGCTTTACTAGAAGATGACTGCTGGGAGTATTCCAGGAGAGTATTATCCAAAGCTTTTTAAAAAAATAAACAAACAACAAACAAAAACCAAATGTAAAATCCCCAAAGAGACCAAACCTACTGAAGAACAGTTTGGAAATTCCAGGGGGCACTAAATAACTCTTTGCTTTCACTGAAGATGAATCAGTGCAAGGGTGGGTGAAGTTCCCAGAAACAACTGAGCAGCAAAATGGGGGTTGTGGGACCTCAGCACTGGGAACAAGGCCAGGGGAGATGGTGAAAGTTCCAGGGTGTAAATTTAAGCTTCTTGTCAATTCGTGAAGTTGCATCATCCCTGACAAGCTTTTCAATCCGGGCAATAAAACCTTGAAGGAAAAGAGATTAAGAAATTGCCATTGGCCTCTGTCAAGACTGACAGGTAGTCTTCCATTCTTTCTGTTTCAAAATTTACACTTAATTCCTACTGAATGTTTACAGCCTGTGAAGTTTATGTTTGACCTTTCAGTCAACAGTCTGGACAGGAATAGGTTTTCCCCCGCCCCAGATGTAGAAATAATTTTCCCAGTTCTCACTGAAGCCTTGTGGTGAGCTGTATCCAGTTAAACATTCAGCAGGGATGAAAAGCCTTGTCCTTCAGCCAGCCTAGTCACTGTGCTGTGGCTTTGCATAGAGCTTGGGAAAAGACAATGGAATAGCCCAACTGCTCTGTGCTAGTGGAATAAGTTCAGTACACCTGGGACAAATATGAGCTATTTTGGGACCTTTTGAGATACCAAGGTTGATTATGCAGCTTACCTCTTTTGTTTTGGTTGTGTGGTTTGCAGCATACTGATTGTCAGCTGTCATTCCCAGGCTGGGCTGAAGCACACCAGAACAGCCACCTGCACAAGGCAAAATTCAATAAAGTGATATTTTTTTAAAAAAAGAAAAAGGCAACAAGAGAAAACAAACTTGGATTAACCCCAGGAATCTTTGCTATGGAAACAGGTTGCTTGGAAACTACCCCAGAGTTAGTTTGAAAATGTAAAAGTCAAGTTGTTCTTTAAGCTGCAGAGCACTCCAGGCTATCAGAGATAATCACAGCCTCGAGCCATTATGGGCAGCAGAGGCAGCAGTGCTCCAAGGACTGGGTAATCTCTGAGGGTCGCTCTCCCCCCCGAGCAGCTGATTGTGGAGAGGTTGGAGAGCAGAGTGCCTGTGCTGTGAGTGTAAGAGGTGCAGCTGTGCATGTGCTGGGGAGCAGCAGCCA